AGAATATATCTGTACATCATAGCGAAACATGTAACATATCCAAAAGATTTCTATCTTCCATTCTTCGGGCTGTCTGTATCAAATCAGCATGGCAAACACGATGAGCAGCTTTTATTCTGTCATGCTTCTTGCGCCAATGAGACCCATGATGCAAGCAGCAAATAAACATTAATTGCACGTATTGTGAACTGGAGCTCCTGCCGGTGATGTTCTCGGAGTGTTTTTTTTTACACTCCATACTTCTAATATTGCCTGGCTCATGCCACAAATGGCTGCCCGAAATAGGTACCTCTTTCGCTTCATGCATACCTATTCTCTTGGGTTCATCACGAGAGAGCCCGATTCCAGCCCAATACAGGACACGAACTCATCCTGGCTCAACAATCCAGTGGCACTCGTCGCTCCGCGGCTCTGCCTCGATGATGCCTACATCAGAGCTTAAATATCCGTCGATTTGGACTTCCCGCCATAATAATTGCCATCATATTGCTTAACACCCTCGCCGCCCCCAAACCAGGCCACACGGTCCTTGCAGAACTGTTCGATCCTGGGCTTGAGTTTGGTCTCGTGCAGGTTGAAGTCGTCCACGGTACCTAGCCTCATGATCTTCTTGTCCGGTGATGCGCTGCTGATGCGGTACATGAGCGTTCCGCAGACGGAGCAGAAATAGTTGGCCATGGTGTTGCCCGTGGCGATGGTATCGCTCTGCGGGCCGAACTGCGTCAGCTTGTCCTGGCCCCGCAGGTGCTTGATGCTCTTGTCCCCGATGATCAGGTTAGAGGCGAAGGCCGAGGCCGTGATCTTTCGGCAGTCTGTGCAGTTGCAGATGAAGGAGTCGACCATGTCCTCGCCCTCGATGGGCTGATTTTCTCGTGGGCACCAAAAGTATTAGTCTGCGAACAAGGCGAAGTATGTCGAGACCTACAAACTCCAGCTGGACGGTGCCGCAGTAGCATGTCGCCGACGCCGTCTTGTCGTTTGAGAAGCCATCTTTCCCTAGAGGAAGCCACGGCTCACCCAGACCGGAGCGCTCCGTCTGATTGATGGAAGACATGGTTGTTTTGTTTCCGACGTCCGGATTATTGGAACCAACTTGAGGTCCGGGGTCTAGTTGATGGTGTAGCTGCGAAATCCTCGAAGAGGTGCTCATGGTAAGTAGGGACATGTGAGGTTGAGTTTCGGGGAACCTATCGTCAGCACGGATATACCGAGGTCCGATCTGTGAGCTGTAGCATGTAAGGTACTCGAAGCTTCATGCATAATTAGTCTCGTTCAGCCTGCATTCAAAAAGGAAGCGGGGCATGCGATAGCTTGCCTGTTCCTGGGGTAAGCAAGCATACCTACCAGTAGGTCAAGCATAGAATTGCTGCGCAGCCTTGCTTTCTATGTTGAAAGGAAGACCGTAGAAGCCAGCCACCTACTACATTGTACAGATCAAATATGTGGCAGACTATCATGGCCTACATCAGGGAGCACACTTTGTATTGCCCGAAGGTGCATGACTACCTAAGTCTTGATCTAGTCGTCGCCGCGTGGATCTCTTGACTACACGTCTCACAAGCTTATATATCGGTACATCTGCTTGTGGTCCGAAATAAATCGAGGGATATTTTAACGTGTCGATTTAATGCCCAAGACTAAACAAGCTCAAAGCAGATCAAGAGCCGATTGTCATTACAGAAGAAGTTCATGGGCAGGAGTATGGCAGGTTACAGAACTTTGTCCACCTGAATCATTCTTACCAGGTTTAGGAATTCTCGACAGAGATTTGATACCTCGCAGAGCTTTTACATTCATTGTGATCTCCATCTACTCTACCTTGTTCGCGACAGAGTAAGAAATTATACCGTCACGGAAGTCGATTTTTCAACGGACTCGCAGGCGCTGTCACTTTGTCCGACAGTAAACAAGTGTGTAATATCAATTAAATGATCGGATATCAGGAATCTCGGGGTCTATAGTCGCTTCACTCCCTCTGATTACCCATCTTTGGGACACTATAAAGAGCATGCCTCTGGTTTGAGTCATTCATTTGCTCTAGGTTCTCGGCTTCGATAATGAACTTCTTTCGCAATCGTCGTTGATGCCACCAAGAGAGGGCAGTCACCAATGCCAATATGCCGGCTGCCAATGCGCCAGTGATCTTCCACACTCCAGCCATGGGTACGCTGTCAGGTGTAATGTAGCTCACTAAGAGAAGTATGGTCAGTAGGGTGGACACGAAGAATGGAGAAGAGCAGTTCGCGGGTTTGAATGTTTATCACACTGTTGGTGCACAATAAGACAAACTTACTCCCAACTGTAGAATCTGGATGATCTTTATCTGTCCAGGACCACGCCGACATCTTGAAATTATCAGCACTCGCAGCATAACACTAAAAAGAAAATACTGCACCTTGCATATGCAATTCCGATAGACACCGAGTATTTGCATGATTGTACCTCCTATGGCGGCAAAGACAGAAACGACGCCAAAGATGCCCTGAAGTCCGTGGCATACTCGAAGAGCCGACGACATCGGATTGAGCCGAGTCACGTCGACATTCCAGCTCCAAAGCATCATCTGAATAACTTGAGTGGCGTAGTAGACAACGTGGGTCAAGCTACGGCAACCCAAGCCCGCCACTGGGGTCGTATAAGACGTCGCAAAGGCGAGTGCGCATGGTGCGCCCAGGAGGATGATCAGAATATTCACCCAGATGCCAGCTCGCAGACCAAAACCGAGCTTGAAGGCGTATCGAAACTCGGTGACACTCATGTGGCCATTATTCCTGTCATCGTCGAACGCCTCAATGACCTTGTCTACCCAGAGGCGTTTGTTCGGTCCGCGCTTCCATAACGATGTGGGCTCGTATGCAGCATCATACGCACGTTCTAGTATGTCGATATTCTTGAGCCAGTGGGTCAACCGGCCCCATAGACTTTCAGGAACGCCCTCGTTGATAATTTCTGCCGCCTTTCTTGCATGCGGTGTACCGATGAGTCCTTGCAATGCACTCGGATTATTCGAGGCGAGCATGGCCGAGGCAATAACGGCGACGTGAGATATCGTCATCCACCACATACCAAAAGCGAGTGCATGAGCCGTATCGCCGTCCCCCAAACGAGTTTCTGCCTCGACAATGTTGTATGCAAAGCTGCCTATAAAGAACACCACAGGTGCACCGACAGCAGTACCGAAACTGCACAATTAATTAGTCGAGTCGTCTGTAGTTTAGGAGACGGGTTGGAATCAACCTTGACTGCGCATTCAATAGAGCTTTAAGCTTTAAAGCCGGCCCAACCTTGAGCTTCGACGCGAGGTCTGTTCGCTCCATCTCGGGCATGCTTGATGAGGACGAGGACCTCACACCCAGCGTGCATGCTGGCGCCGATGAGGGGCGTCCGTCCACAGAAGATTTACCAGTACTTTGCGGGCGGTTGTTGGGCAACTGGTGAGGCATGACCTCTTCAGCGATTCCCATGATATGTAACCAAATCTCATCCGAGCCAGTGTTGCTAGTCCTTGGGATTGTTGCAACTCGATTCGACAACCGCTGATCGAGTTTGATATTCCCGACGACAGCGGCCAGTAGAAGTCGCGCCTTTGTTACGCCCGGAATCTGTGGTTCTGCGAGAAGAAAGTCGATAATGATGCCGTCAAGTATGTATTCGTACACGGCACTTAAAAGCATCGGACCGGCAAAAGCGAAACAAATTGACAGCCAGATAATGGTATCGCAGAATACTAGTACGAACGCGATGGTGAATTTGATAGGATATGTGAAGAATGCGACAATGCTGATAGCATCAGACCCAAAGATCCATTGCGGGAGAGCAATCTTCCAGCCGCGAGGAATACTGAGGCAGAAGGCCAGACAGGGAAGAATGAACTGAACTAGAGGTCCTATCCATTGCTGCAACGAGTTGTAATGTGATAATTCCCATCCAGAGCAGTGCGCCTCACACCATCGATAGGGAACCAGAACCCGTGGAGCGGTCCCATTGGTGGTGCAAAGAGATCCATATGTTGCTGCGTCCTGAACGTCGGCAATGGTGTAGCTCTTGTTGAAATAGCTGGGCTCCCTGAAGGCCAGATGCCCGTCTATGAGCTGCAGAGACTGGCTTACGGCTAACAAGCAGCCTTGACTGAAGTTTCTTCCTCCGAGATATGGTGAGAGATTTGAAAAGGATGTGTTGAGCCATGTTAGTGCTGGAATGGCCTGGAGGATGTTTTCGTACCCGCCGGATGGTGACAAAGACATGCTCAAAGGCTATTGACGAGTGACAGCTCACTTGCGTCCAGTAGGCAAAGGCAGGGCGGCTTGAACACAAGGCTCTCAGGTAAAGCAATCCCAAAAGCACTTGAGTGCCACCGCAACCCGTGGACAATCCAATGTATATATTCTACGTCTGCAACGAGATTGTCTGCCGAGTCTTCAGCCTCAGCTGGCCGCGTGGCAAGCACGCCATCATTCCGCATGCCGGCTGCGACAAACATCAAGCATAATTGGTGCGTAAAAGGACATGTCCCTGTTTGGCGAAAAGGCTCCGGCTCGACGGCCTGCAGAGTGTGAGTGACTGCATCTGCCCTCCATCATATGGACTGACGCTCTGCCAAAAGTCCCAGTACATTTAATACTGCTGACGAAGTGGCAACTATGCGGTAAGACTGTCCCCAAGCCCACCTGCCTAATTCATACCCAGGCTGACATTTTTCGACAATCAGCATATCGTTGTGGTCGCTGCGGACACGCTTTGGTTGTTTGTCATCTGGTAGCGCTGCCGTTGAGCATTAACAGATCCGGATAATGGAGAGAAGCTCAATCGGCGCGGGATACGGCGATGGACGAGTTGACTTGGCAGCTAGGACGTGCAAAACAGACGCGACTCACTCGATTGAATCAACTTTACCTTCTCGCAAGTGTACAGCTGGAAGCCAACTATGCCCTCAAATTACGATGAGTCTCGACTCACCCAGTATCACAAAAAGAGTACCATGGCTTTCAACATCAAAAATATGGAGAAGCAGGGAATCGAACCCCGAACCTTTTCTATGCGAAAGAAACGTCATACCACTAGACCACATCCCCAGGGGTATCGCCAACGAGGTCGGTGATGGTGTCTGAATCATCAGTGTGATGATTGGATGATGGTGCGCCGGGTAATAAGATACAAGAAGGAAGTTGGGTTGGTGAGCATGGGCTATTACGTATGGATTTCTTTGGAGGGATACCAAGAAAGGATCCACCATGCTGCATCGTCTAGATGATATCATGAGCGCATTCTATTGGTGCTGAGGTTGAATAGGAGATTATGGTAAGAAAGGCTGAGAGGGGTTGTGGAGGCCATCGTGAGAATGTCAACATGAGGGGTATGTCGGGTGGAGGCGCTAAGACCCTTTGGCTGAGCGAACTCGGAGAGAACATGATCTGAGAGTGCAAGCAGTGTGTTGGGAAGACGAGGTGTCCGAATGCAGAACATGGGAGACGAGACGGTGGCTGACCTGCAAAGCAAACCAAGATAATACTCGAGCTCCTGGAAGGAGTGCGAACGCAGGTAGGTCACCTCGACGAGCATTGAAACCAGAGTAAGATGCATGTGGGAGGGTCGCACCTTGCACTGGACGGCCCAGAGCCAGAACACTTGGACATTTATTCCATACAGGGCTCTTCGATTGCCAGGGCCCCCCAAAACCCCCAATATGCGCATTCAGTATACTGCAATCATGCCCGTATATTGAATAGCAATTGCGTCCCTTTCAATGCCTAGAACTATCTAGGTGGGTAGTGGGTAAAGACTTTACGGCTAGGGAGACAGACATGTTCAAGTTACACCGCAATTCTTCCAAGGCTGCGGTACGGACCGAAATGCATTCAGCTGGGAGGGGTGTAGAGCTCGAAGGACTCAAGCTTCAGCGCACAAGAATAGAGCCCATCTTAGCACCAGGGTAATGTAGTGGGGTGACGGGTCATGTTACTGATCTACGGATATGTACTGCCGTCTTACCGTCAAAGTATCCGAATTCTCGTTGCTTATCCCCACCGTTACAACGGCTAGATTATGATAATGCCTCACATCTCGTCTTCCACACCGCATATGGTCACGAAGCGACAGTTTTTAGAACGACAGAGTCGAGGATTCAGTGAGACTTTCATCCCAGCGCGACAAACAGCCAGGATGATTGATGTCTATCAAAATCCTAACTGGGGCTGGGGTAAATAAACTTGCCGATCATCCGCTACCTGTCCAGAACCGCACGCCCAATCATAGTGAACTGGGCGCTCGTTAGCACCATGCAGCGTGAATCCTTTCAATCTCTCAAGGCTGAGCCGCCCACTTCATCATCCACGCGCGTGTACGCAACAGGGACAGAAATAGCTGTGTCTGGCTTGGTGGTGGGTTGAGTCAGCTTGAGACATCCACTGCGTTCCCGTATATGTACAAGGGGTGCGCTGTGCCACGAAAATAAAGCTCACGGCGATGTCTTCAAGGGGATCCCTTTAAACCTGGACCGATCCAGGTAGGACGGCCATGGGTGTCTTCACGCCACTCGAGATGGTAATTACACATATCAGAGGCCGACCGTCTCTGCTTCCATGATATTGGACTCGACGGGCACACGTGAGACACCTCATCGCGTCATGGATGAACCACGACCCGCGAGGGCAGTGACTGAACCCAGCCGCCCAGGGCCCCAAGAGATGCCTGCCTCAGTGACTGCACATGCAGACTCGGTCGTCACGGAGGATACCTCGAAAATGTCTGAGGATAATGGTTTGGATCGTCCCAGTTCTTCACCGTACGAGTCTGGGTCAGGCTTCCATCTCATCGACGGAGACGTCAATGGCCCAGGTTATAATGAGACTACCGTCGACATCATTGCAGTACCCTGTCCTGGAGCATCTCCAGTTGACACTTGGACACGCGATCCGTTAGGTGACGGCTACTTCGACAAATCTGATGTAGAACAGTATCCAACAGCAAGGCAATTGCCAGGAAGCAGCATCCTTTCGCCGGCAATCAATCGTCATCTCCCCAGAGCCAAGGATCTATGGATACTTCAGGGTGTGCGTACGGAGATCAATACTGCACGGGTGTTGCTTTACAGGCATGGCGAGCTGAGCGAACGTGTCACGCTCGACCAGCTGGCTGATGATCTCCTGCACCATCTTTGTCGTTTGCGCGAGGAGCATAGTAGGGCGCGGCCCATCTTCTTCGTGTGTCATAGTATTGGCGGCTTGGTCGTCAAGCAAGCACTCGTCAAAGCAAGCCTGGATGAAAGGTTGCGGTGGATCGTGTTTGACTGCCATGGCACGACTTTCTTTGGTATGTGACGTGCATTACTCGCCAGTTGCCAATACTGATGACTTCTGCCAGCTACGCCTCATCGAGGTTCGAGTTATCTTTCCATGCCCAACCTTCGTGACAGCATAGAGCATCTGCTGTACTTGTCACGGCCGCTTCCGCGATCAATCAGTGACGGGTTGCGATTGAACCACCGACCACTACTAAAACTCCACGAGCGATTCATGGACATCGCCAGTGAGATGAGCATATGGACATTCTACGAAACGATTGATTCTCAGCTTTCCGGTCTTGGCCTTTCCGACTTTGACGAGGTTCATTTTAGTGCGCCGCTTGCTTCGATAAAATCTAGTCTTGTCGGAAGTCGACATGAACAGGCATTATCGCTTGAGAGTGAGCATGCCAAATGCGCATCTTTCGGGCCAAAGAACACCCAGATCATGGAATCTTATATCGAAGACCTACACGAAGCTGTAAAAAAGGCGCAGAGACTGAGTACCGACTATGTTCATACGCCTCTCAACCTGTCCGAGCATGTCAAGTTGGAGCTCATCGGTTTCTATGACGACCCAGACCCGGCTACTGTCTCGGATGTTCGACTTTACGTGTCAAAGCATAAGCTGAATGAATTCTTGGAGAAAGGACCCGAGAGATGCCTGAGTGAACGACTCAATACAAAGGCAACAAAACCGCGCCGCGCATATGTGAGATCGGGCTCTCGCACGAGACCTGCAAGCTCAGGTGGGTTAAGCCATCTCAGTGCAGGTGCTCTAGGGATATGGAGTAATGTTCAGGATTTCGGGCAGAGGATACTGCATAGCACAAGATCTCAACCAGACAACGCCATTGATAGCCCAGACCAGTCGGAGGGCCCTCAAATCGTCGTCACAAACCACCCACAGCGCCCTCACATCGGCGACACACGATCAGCGGTATCTGAACCTTATAAAGTACCTTCTCAGCGGAGCCGCGGACTCACAGTACCGGCACTGGCCACTCCAATTTTCGGAACTCTTAGCAGCCGCGATAGCAGCCCAAGTCGTGTCAGCGGCAGCGATGCAACATCACGGACAATGTCAGAGCCTATAGGATCTGACATGTCGCCTCGCAGCACCGCCGGAACTGCGACGCTTGCACAACAACTGATCGATGCTGCCTCTGACTCTGATGAGCATGACTACCACACTCACTCGACGGACCGAAAAGACAGAGTCAGTCGTGCCTCCGCACTTGAGGACTTGACAGCCGGATTCTCGAGACCCGACCCATCGAAGAGGAAGTTTGTTTGGATTCATCTACCTTACACGAACCCGCACTGGGTCAAGGTCAGCAGCTGCTCTTCGAAATTGTAGACACCATTCACTGACTGGCAACAGACTATATTCAACACGCTGTCGGAGACTCAGCATTGCAATTACTCCAACCTGTTACGCAACCAGTACTGGACCGGAAGGCATGTTCAAGGTCGTCACGGGCAGATTCATGCTTCTTATGTAAGGCCTGGCTGTGCATTTGTCCCGGCAGAAGCAAGTGAGTACTGTTCAATGGGTACATAACGTCAAGGATGTATTACTAATATCACCAGACTCACCGAGGCCGGCTTCACCCGAGATGAGCGGTCGTATAAGCCCTGCACTGAGTAGCCCAGATCACTTTTATCTATTCTTGCCATACCTCCACTTCGACACGTATCGAAATCTGATCCGGCGTCGAAATATTGTTCGCAGGCGACTTGATCATGGCAGAGCGAGACCAGTGCCCAAAGATGTGGCGGATATGTCTTTGGACATGCGTGTCATCTGGGAATATCTCGGCCACGATCCACCGCTCAACACCCGAAGAACTCTGGATCAATATGGATACCCCTCTCTCCGAGATACCTATGCACGCGATGACGACCAAATGATGTACAAACTCACCAAAGAACACATCTCTGGGCCAACTGGGAGAAAGAACACGGACATGTTTGCAACTCGAGCGATGAAAGAACAAACGCCAGTCTCTCCAGCCAGCCGTTTTGCTTCAATCGTGAATACCGTCAAAGCGGAGCTTCTCATACACGATCAACATGAGGTGCCAAGCGATATAGAAGATGATATTCTTGACGGCAATATCCTCATGGTTGATCAGCTATGGCTCTGGTCGGTCGATATGACCACGATTACTACTTTCTTCCCAAAGAGGGAGTCGCATCCAACTGAAGGACCAATGTTCCAGCAGGCAGATCTCCGAAACAGTGTCTACAATGAGTTGAACGGCGACTTGTCGGGCCGTTGTGACAACGCATTGGATCTTGCAGCCTTCATTACACTGCATGCTGTCACCGTGCTCTTGGATCGTACTTCGCACCCCGATCTAGAAATCTTTCGCATTTTTGAAGAGGCCATTGGCATCTTGACAGAGCGCATGACAGCCTCGCTGAAGCGGTTCAGAATGCAGACATTCCGAGAGCGGATACACGAGTCGGCGTCCGACTCGGAAGATTACGATGACAACAGATCCGAGTCGATAAAACAGAGACACAAGCGTGAGTTGGAACAAGCCGAGCGCGAAAACCGCGAGAATACATCGGCCCTACTCGAGCTACGTGATATGGACGACGAACTAAAGACGCTGTCGAACTTGTTCCGAGAGCAGACTGCCGTTATTGAGAAGATGCGCAGCCTGTACGAGGACCGGGACGAGCTGCGTGAACACACTCATAATGGCAGGCGCTACCTCGATGAAGCGCTGTCACGGCTGGCCGATTATGAACAGCAGGTCGAGGATATGACTATCCGCATCG